CAGCAGGTGGTGAGTGAGTCCAGGTGGACCTGTCTCTGGGGGTCTGCCCTGGCCTCCCAGCAGGCACAGGGCAGTGCTGAGGCTGCTGTGTCCATGCCAGGTGGTCCCTGCTGGGGGAAGTAGCACCATCTACATTTCCTTCACACCTCCGGTGCTCAGCTCCGACATCCAGCAGAAGGTGGAGTGTACTGGCTACGCCCTGGGTTTCATGAGCTTGGACAATGAGGTGAACGTCCTGGGGTGGGGACCATAGCCACTGCCTCTCTCCTGGGTGGCACAGTGCTGTTTAGTCCAGGGACCACCAGGGTGATCAACGGTTGATTGGGCTCTGTAGGTAGAAAGAGAGATTCCCGAGAGGAGGCGTCGCCTGCAGCACTTTGCTGTGGAACCCCTGAGACTGGACCTGCATGGGCATGTGAGGCGTGCGCAGTGAGTGCTGGGTGGTCCCCTCTCAATCCCGCTATGGGGACACCTCACCGTCCCTGGTGAGGCCAGTCAGGGTTATTGGAGTCAAAGGACAAAACTAATTCTTGGGCTCCTAGAGTAGAACACTCCATGAGAAAGTTCCCACCCAGGCTGACCCACCTCCTGCTGGGGGCTGAGGGGAGGAGAACCCAGCAGGGAAGCCCAGAGAAAGGCTGGCTAGAGACCAAGTGAGCAGAGGGGACAGCCAGGAGGCCCCAGATGCCTGGCTGCCCCAGCAGTGTCTATCGCTGGGCAGACTAAGCGTGGAGCTGGACAGCAGCGGCAGCTTGGAGTTCTGGTGCCAGGCCAGCGACCTCATCCCCGAGCAGCCCTGCTCTGCAGTAAGTGCTGCTTCCCCGCCCCTGGCCCTGCCAATTGACCTGAACCTCCAAGGTACCTAGGGGCCCTGCTGGGGCACAGGCCTTCTGTCCTGAATCCCCTCCCCAGAGCCACAGGACTGAGAGGGTGAGATGAACCCCAGCTCCCCTCTTCTGTGGCTACCCAGGTGCTGAGTGAGCTGCTGACCACCCGCCACCTGAAGCTGATCAACACTACAGAAATACCACAGTACTTCTGGCTTCTGGTCTCCAGGCCCTTCTTTGTTTCTCAAGGCCAGGCTCCTTGGGACCACAGAGCTGGCTCTGGCCAGGAGCACGAGTCTGAGGAGACGGCCCCAGGGGGCAAGCAGATGGAGCTCCGGCCACAGGAGAACATGCTGGTCAGTAGAGGGGTGCGTGGCTCTGGTCTCTCTGGCTCACACTGCCCAGACAGCACCTGCACACCATCCCAGACACACACACTCTGCACAGGGGGCTTTCACATGTGTGGAGGGACTGGTCAGAGTGCACCGGCCACACAAGTTCTACAGACTCACCCAGGCCTCCCCCACTGCCTGGTGGTGGCCCATGCGTTCCTCCTCCTCTTCACACTCAGCCTCCCTTCCTTCTCATATGCCCTCACTCAAGGGTTTGTGCCCCCCAAGAACCTTCTCCCAGAGGTAGAGGAGCCAGACACAGATCTGCAGAATGGTAGGTGAGCTCCTATGTCATTCTGCCTTGGTTCCTCCTTCTGGGGCTACATGGAGGGGAGAAGGGGAGACCAGAGCACAGCTAGAGGTCCCTTTTGCCGGGGCTCCAGGGTTTCCCCCAAGAGACTCTGGGTATAGGTATTTAAAACCCTCGGGCAGCTTGGAGAGGGGGCCCCATGGCTCCCAGGGAAAAGACATCACATGGTGGCACTGCCCTTCACCCTCTGTGTGTAGATAATGCTCGGGCATCTGGCTCCGGACCAGAACTCTCCCCCTCAGTTTTAGACCCAAACTCAAACTGTAAAACTGAATTCTCCATAACCCTTCAGACCCTGTCCTGCTCCAAACATGTGCCTTCTCATCTCAGCAAATACTACCTGCCCCCTAGTGCCTAGATCAGAGCTCTGTCTCCTCCTCCTCCTCGAACCAACTGCCAAGCCCCATGGATGCCCCTAACTCTCGGTGCTTCTCACTTGTCCACACCTCTACATGTATGTCTTGTTCTATAACAATTATTTCCAAGCCTAGCAGTACATCAGTGGCCTTTAGAAATCTTGTTAAACATACAAGCTCTCAGGCTCTACTTTCAGAGATGTCATGATCTCAGCTAAGACCCAAGAATCTATATTTGTAACAAATGCCTCAGTCGATGCTTATGAGCTAGCACATGGAACTATCTGGGAGCCAGGAGTCCAAGCCCCATCCTGTTGGTCCAAGTTCGGTCTCAGCCACCTGACTGCTGTCCTCAGCCACTTATGTTCCTGCAGCCCACCTCCCACTAGCAGCCAGAGTGACCTTGTGGAAGGCAAAGCTGACTTGGACACACCCCTGCTTCAAACCCATTACATGCCCCTCACTATCCTCAGGATAAAGGCAAAGTCCTTCCTTGGCCCACGGATGGCCAGAACCCAGCTCTGATCAAGGGCAGTTTGCTTACTGTCCTTCTACTCTAGCCTCTGACTATGGAGGGCACCAACAGGGTGCTGGGCACAGCACTGGTACAGGGAATAGATGTGCCAGGGAGAGGTGCTGTGGAGCTGTTTGTTGGGAAGCCTGGGTCAGTCTGGGCCCTGTAGGCTGCAGGGACATTGCTGGGCCTTCAGAGGCTTGGGGGAGCAGGATACAGCTCCAGATGGGGGAGCCAGCGCCTGTCCATGTCCATACAGGTGGATGTGTCCTTCTCACTCTCCCTGGAGCTGCTCTCCTACCAGAAGCTCCCGACCGACCAGATGCTACCTGGAGTGGATATCCAGCAGAGCACAAGTGGAGAGAAAGAGATGGTGTTTACTCAGGATCTGCTCCTGGAGTTCACCAATCAGACCACACAGGCTAGTCCCAGGAGGGCTCCTTGAGACGGGGGAGAGAGTAGGACTAGCTGAGAGCTATTCCCTAGAGTGAGGAAGATAGCACCAGGCAGGGCCTTCATAGGAGTCCTGGCGACAGTCTGCCTGGAAGAGGCCCTGTGCAAGGAGAGTCCTCATCCTCACATGTTTCAGGAGCTGAGGGGCTGGAGGATGGGAAATGAGGGAAGGCTCCCTGGAAGAGGTGACAGGTGAAGCCTGTGAAGGGAAACTACACAGTCAGGTCAAGAAAATGGACGAGTGGGTGGGACATGAGCACCTGAGGCAGTTGTGAAGGATGATGCTCAGGCTCCATGGGGCTCCACTGGCCAGAAGGTCATGGGCCATGATGTGGAACAGAGGGGAACTGAACTGGGGCTGTGGGTCAGGTATAAGAAGGAACAGAGGCAAAGCAGGGGAGCTGGAGCACTGCTGCCCAGAGCGGAGTAGCTGCTGGGGCTGCTAAGGTGCTATGGCAGGCAGGGCATGGGTGGAGAATCTGAAGGTCAGGGCTGAGGCAGGATGGCCCAGGATCTGAGACTGAAGACTGGGGAGGGAGGAAGAGTGAAGGAAAGAGGCTGACCTCCATGGGAGTAAGGCTGGCACCAATGGAAAGGACAGCAGAGGGCGCTGTTCTGGCCTGTGGCTGTGCAGAATCTCACCAGCAACTCCTGGGTTATGACAGTGCCAGCCCCCTGCTGCCCACTGTGCTACCGCTTCTGCTCAGAAGCGTTGGTGCTCATGGGGCATCAGGGTTCCATGTGATCCAGTGACCCTGGCTCAGACCCCACTATAATGGGCAAGGTCACTCCATTCCCATCAAGTCAAAATCTGTTCCCCAGGTTGTGCCCCTGCGAGCCATTGTGACTGTGCCTGAGCTGCAGCTGTCCAGCAGCTGGGTGGACTTTGGAACCTGCTTTGTGAACCAGCAGACATCCCGGGAGATCTACCTGATGAACCTCAGCAGCTGCCGGAGCTACTGGGCTGTGCTGATGGGTATGTTGGGCCTCACACCTGCTCACTGTTCCCAGGTGGGGCTGGGTAAAACCTATCCCTCCCAGTATCTGTGTGTCCTGTCCCTTTAGACTGGCATCTCTGGGCTCATATCACTTGGAATTTCTAGAGACAGGCAGTCCTCGAAACCTGTGACCCCAGGTTTCCCTGTCCTGTGGCATTGGCAAGACCAGAGGTGAATCTTGAGAGGATGGGCTGACCTGAGACAAGTAAAGGCTTCCAGGACAAAACACGGAGCTGCCTGTGCCCATGTGTGTCTTCCCTTCCCCTTGATGCAGGTCATCAGAGTGCCACCAAGGAGGCTAAAGACTTTGTTGTCTCCCCAAGCAGTGGGTTGCTGGAGGCACGACCCACCAATGCGCCCCCAACCTCCATCACACTTGAGGTGTTCTTCACTCCCAGGTACAGCTCCTCCCCACCTTCTGGCACTATCCACAGGGCTGGGAGGCCCTGCAGATCTCAGCCCCTCCTCTTCCACAGGAGCAATGAGCTGTATGAATCCATGATGGTGGTCGAAGGCATGCTGGGAGAGAAGTCCTGTGCCCTGCGGCTCCGGGGCCAAGGCTCTTACGATGAGACATTCATGGAAACTCACCAGCTCTGAGGCTCACCCCACCCCTTAGCCCCAGACTTAGCTTAAGGAACGAGATGGCACAGGTTGATGAACAGGTGTGCAGGGCAGGGACATGGACTGAGGATTTCTAAACAGCTCTTGGGATGGAGGAGCCCCGCCCCCTCTGAGGCAAAGGTCTTGCCTTAGCTTTGGGGACTTACAATGTAGTGCCTAACACAAAAGAGGCCACACCAATGTGGAGATCATAGCAGTTCAGACTCAGATGAAGAGCACAGAAGTCCCCCAGGGAAAACACACACCCACCAAGATAACACATGATTGATTATACCATTGTCCCCTCCTCATTCATGAGGCCACAGTTTCCTAGGATTTACATGGGGGCCTTGTGGGCTGGGTGACCCACAATGACTTTGGCCCAGTTAGAGAGGGCCTTGTGGTAAGGCCCAACACCCTGCCCACTCCTGTACTGTATTATCCATGTTCACAGTTTCCAAATTATTTAAAGTGCCTTGATTTGTTCCCACCACCAGTGGCTGAATGTCCCACGTGGATTCACTTCCCAAGAGCCACTCTCTGGCTGCCAGAACAGGGCCGTCTGGGTAGTACCTTGAGCCAGGGACTCAGTTCACAGGGTATTCAAAGACAGCAGCGGCTCCCATCCCAGTGCCAATGCACATGGATACCACTCCATACGCCCTGGGAAAGGGAACTATGTTGGCTGGGCACAGGCACTCTGGGCAGAGGCCCAACCCTCTGACCAGAGGGTACAAAAAACCAGAAGAGCAGATCTTGGATATTCAGTCCCCCGACTACGTACCTTGGCATCACAGTGGCAGCTGTACTCTGTAGGCCAGAAGCCCTTTCAAGGCTGACCCTCAGGGACAATAGAGATCATTCCTTATATGCCCAGTTCAAAGTGCATATTGACCTCCCTAAGCTACCACCCTTTGAAGCCCCAGCTCAGCATCCCCCATGACACCCCAAGGGAAACAGCCTTACCTCTTCCCACAGCACTTTAGCTCATTCAGCAGCTGATGTCCTGTCATGCCCCAGTGCAGCCCAGGAGGTGGCCCAGGGCCACCGCTCCTCCCAGAGGGTTCACCTTCTCAGGGGGGAATTCCTAGATTTTCCACACAGTAAACCACCTGGACATGCTGACCCCCTCCCCTGCATGGCTTGTCCACTGGCTCCCACTAGGTGCCCAGGGACCAGGCAATGGGGAGACTAAGATTCACCTGGCCTCACTGATCTCAAAGATGTCCTCATCATTCATTGTCAGCCCTGGAGGTGAGGTTCAGACCTGGGCAGGCATCCTCCAGGCCAGCAGGGCAGCAGCTCCCCCATCACTCACCTGGCTAGAGTTTCCTAGGGAGAAAGAGTTGGGGTGAGGAGGATCAGAGCAGAGGAGAACCAGCCCACTGTGGCAGACATGCAACTTTAGCCTACTAAATGATGCCCATGGGCAGGCATCCAGGTCTTCTCAGACCTCCACACATGCACAGGCCCATAATTGCCTAGTGTGCTGTCACATCAGACAGGTGAGTGGGTCTCAGCTACAGGTCACAAAGGCCTTGGGTATGGAATGCCAGCCCACCCCAACTTCACTCTGCAGCACCTGCAGTTCTCCCCCCAGTACTCATCCCCAGCCCCAGCAGCAGGGCATGAGGGGACCCAGGTCTAGGGTCTGAAGGAGCCACTGACCTGCATTCTCCAAGGCTGTAGGAATGGCATATGTAGGTCCGATGTCCATGACATCAGGGGGGGACTCCAACCTGCATAGAGCCTCAGGACCCCGAGGATGGGGAGGCCCAACTCTTCTGCCTTGGACCTCCGGGCCAAGAGGATGGCAGCTGCCCCATCGCTCACCTGGCTAGAGTTTCCTAGGGAGAAATAATTGGGGTGAGGAGGGATCAGGGCAGAGGAGAACCAGCCCACTGTGGCAGACATGCAACTTTAGCCTACTAACTCTGGGGACATGTCTGGTCCTACGGGACATCTGAGGGACTGGCTAGAGGTCCTCAGGAAATGTTGCCCTGGGGAGGATGTCTGGGGCCATCCAGAGTCGTCTTTGCTATCAACCCAGGCTGCCACCAGGGGTTGCCAAAGGACCTGGTCTGCCCCAGACTCCAGAGCAGAACAGCCAGCCTGGTAGCAGTCCCTGGTGGACCCGCCATCCTTGAAAGCAGGCTTCATTTTGGCCAGGCCCTCCATGGTGATGTTGGGGCAGATTCCCTCATCCTGGGACACAGTGATGCTCCTCTTGATGCCCTTGTCATCATGGATGGTGGTGGTCACAGGCACAATCTCAGCGTGGAAATAGCCCTTGCTCTGGGCTCTTGCTGCCCTGCCAGCGCAGGCAGCCAGGCTCTCCTGGAGCTCCCTTCCTCCTGTCCTCACTCTAGCCCATTGTGGCAGACATGCAACCTCAGCCTGCTAAATTCAGGGACATGTCTGGTCCTAGGGGACATCTGAGAGACTGTCTAGAGGTCCTGAGGACAACCCTGCCCTGTGGAGAGGGAGCCTTGCTGTGGCCATCCAGAGCCTCCTTTGCTATCAACCCAGGGTGTCCACATCCTGGCTGATTCCAAACTCAGGAGAAGGGAGCTTGCAGGTGGTTTTGCTTCTTAGAGCCCTTTGCCCAAGACTCAGTTGCCTCTGCTAGTCTGAGGCTGGAGCCCCAGGAACATTTTTGATGGCTTCTGCTAGCTTTCCAGGGTGACCCCCAACATCTGAATTTCACCATTTCCTGATTCCACAAATCTAAAGTGACACATCCTAATTTCTGTGATGTCTTTTCCAATTCAAACAGTTGAACCCTGAGGTATTTTAGGGGTTACCCTTGCAGCCCTATGCAAACTACACCACCTAGGGGCATTTCAATAGTAGGAACCCAGAGCTTCCAGCAAAGCCCACAAGGCAACCTGACCCAAGAGGCTAACAGTCCCTCTCTCGGAGAAACCCACCTGGACCAGGCACAACTCCATCTTTTCTGTCCCTTCCCTCTATGGTCAATACTGGCTGATCTAGCTTGCTGTTGCCCAGAGGCTAAGCCTGACGTTTTTGTGACATCAGTTCAAACCCAGGCCTACTCCAGAAGCTCGTGTGTCTAGTCCACAGAATCACTGTCCTCACACTCCAAGCCTCTAGATACCAAGTCCAGTCCCTAAGCCAGAGTCAGGTTGGAGTCATGGCCCTCCTTACGTTTCAAAGAACAGAGGTGGAACTGAGGCTTAGGTAGGGAGAAGGCACTCAGACTCAACAGTCAGTCTGAGACAGTGAACGGCCACCAGTTCAGAATGGTACTGCGCCCTTTCTGTTCCCACCTGGGAGGTATGAGGCTTGCAAAACCCTCATTCACAGCTGTACCCTTGGGACAAGTCCATCTCAGAACACTCACCATGGCCTCACAGTCTCACCCTCTAGCTCTTTCAAGGTCCCACCCCAGCAACACTCACTTCTGCTGGAAGGCCACGGCAAAGGTGTCTTGTTTCTCCCTTGAAACGCCAAACCACTCAGCCACTTTCTCCGAGGTTATCCTAGGACACAAACAGCACACTAATTGGAGATGGTTTGGGGGCCAAGGCCAGGCTGTAACACTGTGGTTTTACACGAGGCCCATGGGACTAAAGGTGGGGAGGGCTGGTCCATGCCACAGAGACAATAGTAAGTATTCTAGAGGTGGCACTCTTTTCCCCAGCATGGGCATGGAATAGATAGGGAGTCACCCTGCTGGCCAGACTCTTCCAAGAGGGAGGGTAGGCTGCATGAAGAGCAGAGCAGAAGACAGCATGTTCCCTGGTGAGTTGCTTCAGCTGAAGAAGAGATTCAAGGGGATTTTTGGGGCTCCCTATGGCCAGCTTCTACTAAGGTCTCCAGGTTGCCCATGGAGGTACTATATGTGGTCAATTCCAAGATACAATCAACCTCCTCGTACATCCATGGGAACCAGGCCTCCCTGCCCACAGGCCCTGCAGATGGCCCCAGCTCAGTGGCACTGGCTGCTGACCAAGGTGCTGGACTGATGCAGCACACATCACAGGTTGCATGTGACAGGCCCCAAGGTCCCTCACCAGCATGTTCAGGGATCAGAAGCTCCCCACAGTCAACATTCTAGGATCCCATGGTTTCAGGAGATGGGCTGTCATTGTCCTACTCGTGATTAAGCACTCAGAGGGGGTATGACAAAATGGGCTATATGTGGAAACAGAAGACTCAAGGGCCTCAGGGACAGGAAATCATAGCAGCATGGAGTTCCATGCTCAATATCATCCAAAGGAGAGAGAAAGAGGGTTGGCATTGCTAGAGATGAGGAGCTAAGGATGGGCACTCACCCCAGGGGATCAGGCAGTCTCTGGCCTTCTTGTTCTCCTTCACATAGGAAGCAATGTTTCCAGGGTTCAAATTCCAACCATTGATATAAACTCCACCCTAGAAGGAGGAAACTGAGGTGAGTCAAACCAGCTAGGGTTCCAGTAGCAATGGCTGGACACTTGGCAAGATGTGGGAAGAGCCAGGGAACCCTCAGGAAGTGAAGTGCACTGTCTGGGAGCCACTTGCCAGCAAAACAGAGCTGGGGTGTTGCTGAGCCCTATTTCTACCTTTACCCCAGGACAGAGCAAAGTACTCCCAGGGACAGGCGCCTCTGTACTTTTGAACCAGTCAATTGGCAGCTCCTGAGAAAAGCATTCTAGTATCCCCCACAGTACAGGAAACACATCCAGTAAGCCCAGGCCCTGTCCTCAGGGCCCACAAATGTAGAGGAGAAAAGACAAGTCTGTACAAAGCTCACATTGAAAGCCAACCTGAGCTGTACAGGCAGGGAGGTGTAACAGGCTGAGAAGATGGGGAGATGGCCAGGGTAGAGAGGTCTCTGAGAGGAGAAGGGCGGCAAAGGCCTCAAAAAAGATAACAGGTGATCTCGATCCAGTGTCAAAGCACTAGGCTGAACTCAAGAGGGCACTTCAAAAAGCATCAGTCACATGATAAACACCTGCTGGTTTTAGTTTGTTAAAGACTCCATTTAATCCTGCTATGAATCAATACACAGCTGAGCTACAGATCCCCTTTTATAGAGGAGGACACTGAGGTCCTGAGTGGATGGAACCCAGCCTGAATCCCGATTTAGGCAGTCTTGCACCAGAGCTCATTCCCTATTAGAAAGTGCTAGGCAACAGTCCATAGAGTCTAGTAGATGGTTGAGTTGTGATGTGGGAATCCTCCCAGCCCCAAACCTTGGTACCCCAGCAACACAGTGCTTAAGCTGCTGGGGAATCAGATGCCCATAAGAAACTCATGAAGACTAATGCTTCAAATTACCCACACCTACACTTCCCCAGTAAGACAGGAAACCAGAGACATCAGGGGCAGTCTGGGTTTGGCCCTTGCCCGGATCTCGGTGGTCTTTGGCTATCTAACAACTAAGACATAGGTCAGGCTAAACAAGTGAAGGTCATCTAGGATCTGGCCTGAGACCAGTGATGCTTCCTATCAATAAACATTCTATAGAGGATCTAAAAGGCAAACAGAAGCATGTAATAACTAAGGCTTGTCCCCTCCAAGGCTGCCACAGCCTCCCTCACCCTGCCTGAATAGCCCCAGCATCTCTGCCCAAATCTGCAGACACTGCCATTTGTTGCAAGCAAAGACAGAGCCATGATATGGGTAAAGGTGACAGTGGGAAATCACCAAGATCTGAACATGTCCCTCAGAAGCTGGCAGATATTTCTACCTGTGTACCAAGGTAGGAATAAGGGGACAAACACCCTAGGAAAGCAAAAAGTAATATATGGGAAACTATCCCTGGCATAAGGGAACCGAAACTGCAAATTATCTCAGAGTCCAAGTGCTATATTTTTCCAACCTGCTGTCCACTTTCCAGCCTGACAGATTTCCAAGACAGAATGCTTACAGGCCACTTTATCTGCAAGTGCTAGATGGGAGCTTTTGCTGAGCAGACAGAATTAGGGGCCATTCCTAGGCTGCATCTAGAGGGATCCACACCTTTAGCTGCCTAAAGGAACCAGGGAATGGTCCTCAAATCATGGCCTCAAAGAACTGAGCAGAGGGAAATTAGTTTGATTGTCACCATTGGTTAAGGAGCTCTGGCAGAAAGAAATTCTTACCCACAGGCCTTGCCAATGTCATAAAACCCATTTCTGATACTACCTGCAACAAAAGCATTTCATAGCCATCCTTGACCAAGGTCTGTCTGTCTTAGGAGCAGCAGAGCCCCTGTCCCACCTGCTCTCTAGGTGCCACTCAGCCCAGCCCCAGAAACAGGACACAGGAGTGTCCTGAAGAGCTTGGAGCAGTGGCGAGGGAAGCTCCTGAATTTTTTCTGTGCTCAGAGTCCTCTCAGAAATGCTTACTGCTGGTCCAGGAGATAGCAATATCACTGTCCCTAGTGGTCAGGGGCAGAAAGCCCAGGCCTGGTCAAGGGCACCACCCAGTCCCAACTTATCAGCTATGTTGGCCACTGCCTACAGCCCTGATGAGCACTATCTGTTGATGGTGGACAGAGGCACAGTCTCTGGGATGCCACTGAAACACAAAATGAAAGGCACAGTCAAACCCCTGCAGTGCCAGGCTCTCATGGAAAGCAAGTCTGTGCTCCTGGGCCATGTGACTGCTCCCATCAAAGGTCACAAAAATCTGGGGAACAATCTAGTAGCCCTGCACCCATATCAGTTCAGATCCATATGCTGTCTCTACAGGTGCATGCTCCTCAGGACCAACACAAGCATATGATCTTCCATCCTATGTTTCTCCTCAATCCAATCCAAGGCAGAGAAGTCCATTTGGGCCGTGAGGATCTTTTTCTCCCTCTGAAGATTCAACAGTGACAACTACCTATCTCTGTTTCCCCCAGAGAACAGAGCAGTGGGCTTGTTCTTGGGACAGGCCACCAGAGCAAAAGCCATATCTCAAATATGAGGCCAGCATCCATCCCTACCCTTCCTAGTAACCACATAGTTTTTCATATTCTATTCACTCTCCAGAAAGAGACGATCAGGGCTCCTCTTGGGTTCCCCCTGACCCAGAGTCCTCCTCATCTCCCAGACTCTGCTAATGAGATGGATCTGGAGTTCCCAGCTTGCTCAACTAGCAAAAGAAGCAATGTCACCATTCAGGGTGTTCATGTGGTCATTTACCTGTCAAAGGAAGATAGAGTCTAGTTGAAAGCAAAAGTCAATTTTGGCTATAATTAGTCCACAGAGAACCTTTGCTCCACTCCCAGAAGTGGAGTGTCTTGGCTCTCAGCAAAGAAACACCCCTCTCCCCAATGTAGGGGAAAGGTTGGGTCCAAAGACTAGGATCCCAAGCACTCTGGTTGCCCTGACATCTTTTGACATCTGGTGTCCAACCTCATCTCCACTTGCCACAGGCCAAGTCCCCTGGAGCCAGGACCCACTCAAGAATTACAATGACCAACACAGAGCTAGAAGTAGAAAAGATTAGCTCAGAAACTGGGCAATCCGGGCCATGATGGCTCCACCTCCAGGCTGAAGCACATTTCCTATTCAGGGGAAAATGCCTTTATCTAGAGTCAACAGTTGTAAGTATTAAAGAGAGGACATTTCAGATCGTTCTTCAGAATTGTTAGCCCTTGGCAGGCTCCTCTGAGGCTCTGGAATTTCAGGGTCTGCAGCAGGGGGAGCCAGACACACAACAGCCTGTTCAGATCATATATGGACCCCTGTGCTGGAAGGTCCCAAGCTCACTTGCCCATGCACCCTACTCTTCAAAATCAGCACAGGCTGGGCAGGTGACCTCCCTTCCACATAACATGGAAGACATGAGGGAAAGAGCAATGCAAACCTTGAAGTCCAATAGCATTGGCCCTTAGGCAAAGGAAATGAGATTCTGAAAATGTACACTTCCCTGAGTGTCCTCTCTCCAGGCCCTGCTGTCACTACAGAAGAAAAATAGTGAGTTCCAACCTAAGTGAGGCACATAGTGTCCTGTATTGTCTTTTATTACATTTCAAGGGAAGAGGTGTAGGAGTGGGAAACTGGGTGGGAACACAGGTTGAGGCCTCATGTTCAATTTCTAACTTTGTTGCAAATGCACAGCCCCCACTCTCTCCATTTGTAAATCAGTGCTGAACTTGATGTTTTTGACGTTCCCTCATCTCTGTCCCGGAATAGACAGGATCTAGGGTGCATAGAGAACCCTGGTCTCAAGCCTCCTGGTACCCTCAGGTGCTAGAATTTCTGCACTTGGGATAACCACTTTCCTCATTAAGTAGAGTACTCATTAAGTAGAATGAATGCACATGGAGGAGGTTTAAAGTGTTTAGGGTTGAAATAGATGTAGACTGGCTCTCAGGATATCATAGGAAGTCAGTGGACTCCATAGTTCCCTTCAGTGACGACTAGAGGCATGGAAGCAGGACTTTGGAGGGATGAGAAGATCCGGAGGCCCCTGCGCAGGGCCTGGGTGGTGCACTCCCCTAACGAGATGTCCCCCAACTGCTCAGGCCTCAGCTTTACGTCCTGGAGAACTGCGGTCAAGAGGGCACACAGAAGCTCATCTTGGGTGGTGTCCTGAAGAGGCAGGTAAAGCTGCGGTGAGCTTGGCTAGTGATACCTCATGCAGAAAAAGCGACTGCAGCTCACCTGCCGACTGCTTCCGGCCCCCGCCCCAGGTAAATACGACGGAACCCGAGACCCCTGCGTCTCACCCCAGGAGCCAACCTCCGGGGGCCTCACCTTGAAGACGCCGCGGCTCGCTTTGCCAAGGGCCGTGCGCAGTCCGTGCACCACCACCACGTCCGCGGCCGAGGCTTGCCTGAAGTTACCAAAGCAAGGAGCGGCCTGTAGCGCGACACCCGACTCGGGCCGGTCGGTGAGGTGGCCCTGAACTACCTGCAGCCTCAAATTCACGCCGCTGAGACCCGCAGAGCAGTTTGAAACCGGCGCGCAATTGGAAACACACCCTCTGCACCTCGGAGCGGAAGTTCCACTCAGTCTTCGACGCCCGAACACCGCCCACAGCCCGCCCTCCAAAGGTTCCGCCCACCCAATCTCAGCCAACCAGAAGGAGCGTAACTTGAGACACGCCCACCCCAGCCACTCCTACCTCAGGCCCCAAACGCACCGCGCCGGGCCGTTCTTTCCTCTCTCAAAGTCCAGGCCTCCGTGGGCTACCCAGACCAATCAAGAAGCGGTTCTTTCTGGAGTCCCGCCCACAAAGGCAGAGGGGAAATCATCCTACCTTTCCAAGTTTTGGAGACAAAATCCAGGCTGGTTCCCAAAGTCTTGCACATAAACTGGGCCTCAACCAGAAGCCCCTTCCTCCAAAATCCTACACCCTGCCTGCTGCCAGACAGAAGGCTGGACCACCTGGGGTCCCTTCCTTGGCCTTTCTTTGGAAGGAGGAGTTCGGGACTCTTAATTCCTGTTCCCCATCCTAGTCTGTTCTGCTCTGTCGCGTGTCCCGGCACCCAATCTGGAGACTCTATACATACTCTTCATAGTTCCAGCTCACCTCCGAAGAAGTCAATTTCTTCCGGCAAGTCTTTTTAGAAGAATCAAGCAATTTGATTCCCAGTTATCACGGAGAGTGAATTTACAAAGCTGTGGAAGTGTAGCAAGCTCTTTAACTGAACGGAGAACATGCCACACTTCTTAGAACAATGTCACACCTGTTTGTGATGATTCAATTGGTTGTCACCTTCCCCGTTAGGAAGCAGAGAAGAAGCTGTGTCCTGGGAGCCTGAAATGTGTTTGACGTTTAGTACGTCATCAATATATATCTGAGGAATGAGAGAATTAACCAGGGCTCCTCTGCCTGGACTGTGTCTTCAACTCTAAAGAACAAGGCCAGGTGCTGTCTGACTGCCAATGGCAGGGTCATATATTTACCCAGACCTTCGAATGTTGTACTGCATTTGCCCTAGACACCAAGGGACAGGGTACCCTGTTCATCCCCACTCTGGAGTGTAGGTTTGTGACCCTCCCTATTTCAACTGCAGATCCATCACATGCCTTAGATTCCTGAAGGCAGTATGCCTTTCCCATTGTTACCTGCCCATACTGCCAGTCCCTGCTGATGCTGCTACTGGCAGGATTGTGTGCTCCCCAGACACTTGGAAGGGTACACCAGATGTCTCCCCTCGTGTCCTCTTCCCAACATCCTCCAGGGCAGGACCTTTGGACAATCTAGATCTTCAACAAATGGGACAGGACACTGTCACATCCCAAAGAGCAAAACCAGTTTCCTATAAACCCTGAAAAAAAAAGTTGTTCTCCCTTACCTCCTACCCAAACGACCACCATAACCAGACCCTCAAGGACTGACCTACCCATATCTAAAAGGAGGCTTCTGAGTTCTCATATCTGCTGTTCTGAGACCCCCAAGTCAAGAGAGTGTGCCCTACCTCATTACATCTGTACAGGATTTAGACAGAATCCAGACAGGACTCTAGATTCTAAGGTGGAGCCATGCTTCTCAGAAAGAGAAAGCAGGTAAGTCCAGGCAAAGGCAACAGGACAAGCAGGATGCCTGGCTGGGAAGGGCCAGGTGTAAAAGTGTAGGTGTAAAAGTGATAGACAAGCTTAGCAAAAGTCTCAGGTGGGCCAGGTGTCAGACACAGGCTGCTCTTGAGCTTCTGAGCTGTCAGGTAGATCAACAGGATAAGTGAGGGAGTGGAAGCTGATGGTCTAGGAAACTTCTGGCACTCATGTAATGTACTAGCACAGGAGGTCCAGCTGCCCACAGACAGGCACACATTGCTGGGTTAGAGTCACTGCCATCACTGCACCATCACTGGATCTTCATTCCATTCCCAGGAGCCTTAGAATGGGAGTCCAGGACAAGGAACAGAAGGACACAAGCCTTATCTTCTGCCTTAACCAGATGGCCAGACCCCTACTGACATCCTTTGGGGCTGGTCAGAACGTGTGTGTGTGTGTGTGTGTGTGTGTGTGAGCATGCTCAATGTTTTAGTCAGCTTTTTACTGCTGTGACCCAAAGATCTCACAAGAACAATTTTAGAGGAGGAAAAGTTTATTTTATGCTCACAATTTCAAAGGTCTCAGTACATAAACAGCTGACTCCATTCTTCAGGTCCCAAGGTAAGGCAGGACATCATGGAGGAAGAGTGTGGTGAAGGAATGTGGCTCAGCACTTGGCCACCAGGAAGCAGGGAGAGAGTTCTACTCACCCAGAGAAAAACATATACCCCAAAGGCATGCCCCTCAGTGACCCACCTCCTCCAGTCATCTCCTACCTGCCTACTGTTGCCACCCAATTAATCTACATTAAGGGATTAACTCACTTTTGGGTAAAGCTCTCATCACCCAATCATTTCACCTCTAACCCTCTTGGATTGTCTCACACATGAGCTCTGGGGAGACACCTCACATCTAAACCATAACATCCAGCTTGTCAGATCTGTGTAGCTGCCCATGGCACCAGCAGCTGGAGAAGGCCCAGAGCCCAAGAGGGTCAAATAGAGCAGGGTTTGATCCTAACTGTGGGATGGGCAACCTGACACACCCTATCTTTTCCCCACAGAATAGAATAGCCAGAAGTACATTTTGAAGCCCCAGCAGGAGTCTGGAAGCCATTACAAGTGGCCAGAGTAGACAACACTGTCCCATAGACAGTGGAGCTATCAGACATTATCACACTTGATGACCCCATGCATAACGGCCAAATACTGTTCCCATGCCATAGGCAGACATGTGGGCCATAGCCACAGGAAAGTGTTGTGTGCAGAGTATGCATGTTGAAGACAGATGGGCTGTGGGTCCCTGGGCAAGCCCCTTGACCTTTCTGAACCTTGGTTTCCCAACCACAAAATAGGGCTACTACAAGTCTTATCATTATGTTGCTCAGAGACTCTCATGAAATGTGTGTGGGTGAAGGCTAACCCAGGGTTAGGCCCTCAGGGGCCTCATCTTTTGTCTCCTGAGAAGGTCACTTAGTCTGAGTTGTGTCAACTAGAGATGGGTGTAGAGCCCAGGATCAAGGTTGCCTGGGCAATAAACTCCTGGCTTCTTCAGAGTTTCTGTAGTGCTGTGAAGCACTGTCACTTGTGCTCTGACTGTCACCTGTGCTGTGCTCCCAGGGAAAGTGCAGAGAATTATTTTTTTTGTAGATTCTTTTTTTAGGGAAGGGGTTGAATTCATTTTTTTCCCACCCATTTTTTTATTGGTACGTTATAGTTGTACAACAATGGGATTCGTTGTTACATATTCATGCATGCATATGATACAATATAATTTGGCCAATATCATTGCCCTGTACTTCCCCCCGCCCTCCCCACCACCTACATCTTGGTCCCTTTCCTCTACTGATCTCCCCTTGATTTTCATGAGATCCGCCCCCCACCTTTCTTTTCCTTTCCTCTCTGGCTTCCACACAGGAGAGGAAATGTAAGACCCTTCTCCTCTGGAGTTCGACTAATTTTTCTTAACATGACGGTCTCTAGTTCCATCCATTTTTCTGCAAATGACATAATTTTATTTTTCTTTATGGCTGAATAAAACTCCATTGTGATATATACCACATTTTCTTTATCCATTCATTCATTGAAGGACTCTGAGGTTGGTTCCATAGTCTAGCTATTCTGGATGGTCCTGCTATGAACACAGGTATGTGTGTATCACTACAGAGTGATAACTTTTTGAGGTACAGCTGGTTCATTATGTTGGTTCCATGCCTAACGTTTTGAGGAACCTCCAGACACTCATCAGGTGGCCCAGTTCATATACCAGCCCCAATACTGGAAGGTCCCAAGCTCACTTGCCCAGTCACCATCCCCTTCTTCCAAATCAGCACAGACTGGGCAGTTATCCTGCCTTCCAGGTAACATGGAAGACAGGAGGGAAAGAGGAACATAATGCAAAAGCTTGAAGGCCAACAGCAGTGGAACTTGGATGATGGAAATGAGATAATGGAAGTGCACACATCCCCTGAGGTCCTCCTCCAGGACCTGCTGTCACTGCAGACAGGAGGAACAATGATTCCCACCCTAAGCGAGATGAAGACACTCTGGATGTCTTGTAAGATTTTGTTACATTTCAAGGGTAGAAGTGTAGGGTGAGAGGCAGGGTTGGAATTAAGGGTGAAGTGCTGGGTTGAGACCTAGCTCCATAGCAAATTCAGGAGCCTTATTCTCAGTCTGTAAATGGTGGGCCAGACCAGGTGTTTTTTGATATTCTGGCCTGACATAGACATAGACAGGAACACAAGGGGCACAGACAACTGTGGTCTCCTGCCTCCTGGAGTTTCTGGAGACCTCTGAGGCTTGGAATGTCTGCCAATAGGCATTTCTGCTTTCCATCTGCCTTCATATGCAGAATGTGCCTGGAGGGGGCACAAAGCCTCCAGGGACAGGGGCTCTCTGACTCTCAGGAGGCAATTATGGTGAACTCAGCAGAGTCCACTGTTACTCCCCTCAGTGACAACTTGGGGTCTGAAGGCATGGAAAAAGGACACCAGAGGGATAAGAAGACAGGGAGTTCCCAGAACAGAGTCTGGGGGGTGCACTCACCCACAGAGATGTCTCCCAGCTGCTCAAGCCTCAGCTTCCTGTCCTATAGACCCACAGTCAAGACAGCAAACAGAAGCTCATCAGGGTCATCTGCTTGGATTCTGTGTATCTAAGCCGTGGTCCCTTGATCCACCACTGTGGATAAGCTTGGGATCCTTCAGCATGGAGAATGGTATATGACCTGGATGGGATGTTGTGTATCTGGCTGTACCTCTCTAGGCCTTGAAATTTCAGAATATTAGTGAACTTGCCAAGGACATATGATGAAGAAAGATCTAGAATGTCTTCTCTTTGGTACTCACAGCTGTACCTTAGTTCCCAGGATACTACCTGGAACTGAATAATAACTTTTGTCAATCAGAAATGAGATCCAGCCTGGAGCTGGGGCCATTGTGGCCTGGATTACCCAGTTTCGGAGATAACCTTTTCTACTTCTACCTCTGGGTAAGCAGTTGTGAATCTTGAGTGAGTCATGGCCCCTGAAAATTCAGCCCATTGGAAGCAAGGATCCAGATGGACATCAGATGTCAAAAGATGTCAGGGCAACCAGAGTGCCTGAGATGCTGCTCTCTGGACCCAACCTTTCCCCTACTTTGGCAGTGGGAAATGGTGAGTTGGCCAGACCAGAGCCAAGACATACAGGTCTGTGGGACTGGGGCAAAGGTTTTCTGTGGCCTGATTTTTATTCAAAAACAACCTGTTGCTTACTTTTGGAAGTGTGGACTCTACTCCTCTGTCAGGTAAATGACCCATGAAAACCTTGAACTGTGACTTAGCTTCCTTTGCTAGTTGAGCAAGCTGGAAACTCCAGGCCCATCCCATTAGCAGAGGCCTGAAGATGGGGAGGACCCTGGGGCAGGGGGATCCTTGGTGGAGCTCTGATCATCTGGCCCTTCACCACTTGCTCTCCCAGATGGGGCTGGAGTGTTCCGTTGTTTCTACATGTAGCCTCAGACCCAATTGTCTTTGTCCTTTGAGCTGCACTGAGTTGAAATAATAGGGACATTAGCCAGTGAGAGAGCAGCAAAGGAAACCCAACCTCTAGGAACTGGCAGAAGCTCAGACTGCTGAACCTGCAGTTCAGGGTCTCCCACTCCCTGTCTCTAGAACAACTCTTCAGCCTCACCTCCCAGCTGCTCACTCATGTGACTTTTTCTCCTTTCAGTTAAACTATCTGCCTCCTTCTGTCTTCCCTACTGTGCCAATTCTGTCCCCATGGAGTGCTGTTCCTACCTGCTTTCTCTGCCCTAGCTAAATCCTGCCCCAAACACAATCTCACCACTTGCACGTATCTTCCCTAAGCTCTCAGACTTACAGTGAGAGATCTTCCTTTCCAGTAGGTAGCCTGTGCTTCCCTGTGATGCAACTGTGACACCTGACCCTGCTATTCATCTCCTGTGGGATACACTCTGTGTTGGTTGGACCTCCTCTAGGGCATAGTACTGTAATTCCTCAGCATGAAATCAGTGGAGTCCTGTGCTCAGGAGGGATTTTAGGAAAACTTGGTGGAACTGGTGACAACTAGTGTTATG